ATGGCTACGAGGGTTGTTGCTTATCCTGCCTGGCGTGTGTTCGCAATCATTGTGTCTCACGTTTGTACTTCTCTATGGGCAGAAGTGTGACCTAGATATAGTGCTTGTATTCGTTGTCCATTCTGGTCTGTCCGTATGCTCATGGCGGGGTCTAGCCTTCAGTTGCGTTCTATCGACAGATTTGGAATGCTAGCGCGAAGACAGGGATAAACCCGACTCTATTATTGGAGAGTTCTAATGTCTAGGGATTGGACGGCATACGGAAAATGGATTTCTACTCATATCTTTAACGAAATCAATCCCGTTATTCTTGAGAGAAGCCGCTGCTTCCCTGCTTGCTCCCTTGTCCTTCCCGCTGTCCTTTGCCCGCTTGTCGGTCTGTGAGTCTGTGTTCAGAGTATCATACCTTGGTTGTGGGTGGGATCGACCTGGTTTTGGCGAGAGTCGTTGGGGAAATGATGCACGTCCGGCTCCTTTGGCTGCTTGTATCTTGTCTCCCTAATACTTTCCTCTTGAGACGTCCTTCCTTATCAGGCAGCGCTCCTCCTCCCAGTCTCGTTTTTCTCTCCCTTCGCGCTGGGTGTTTCTTTTGTCCTTTCCCCCTTTGGTCGTGGTGAACTCTCTCGTATTGGATCCCTTCTTCCATCTTTCACCACCCGCCCGATAGTGTTACTCCTTTTCCTGTTGTTATACCACTGCTCCCACTCAACTCTCCCTACTCTCCTTTTTCCTCTTTATGGTGTCTCCTGTCCTTTCTTTTGTTTAGCTTCCTCTCCTTCCCATGTCGTTCTCCTCTCCCTTCTCTCCTCCCCCCTTCTGTCTTTCCGTCCAAAAGAGCCATGCCCGTAGGCGTGGCGTGACATGGCACGCTGGGCTTCTCGCCCGTCCAGGCTTTTCCCACCGAAAGGGTGTAGGTTGGGATGAAAGTCCCCGCGCGCGGCGAGTCCGCGCTTGTTGGCGCGAAAATTCAAAAATTAGCGCTCGCACTCACCGGAACGGCGTGAGCGTGTCCACTCCCGCCTCGAGACTTCTTGATTCTATTTTTCTCTTTTCCCATAATTTTGAAAAGTACAGGTAGAAAGGAAACTTGGTCTGCAATTTTTCATGTCCTCGTGATCTCCTCTGTGCTAAAAATTAGTAAGTGTTTGCCGATACTTGGTCTGTTCGGATAGACTGGACAACTTATCTCCCCCCATCTTCGTCCCTCCTACCTCACTGAACCAGGAAAGATGGTGCTCACATTGCTGTCTTGTCTGTCACATCATCCAGAGTAAAAAGCGAACCTGTTTGGTTGGTTCTTGCCTCTTGTCCCCTTTTGAACCCACCTTTGATGTTGAAGGCTACTAAAAGTCTCCTGTTGTTCTTGCCAGTACAGTTTTCATCAATATTGTTTAGCGGGGCGTGCCGGAATTCACTGCATTTCGACTTTGGCTTTTCGTGTATTTTGCAGGTTTTTCGCGACTTCATAGGATACAGAACGGGACATAAAGGTGCAATTGCATCCAACGTGGGATCCATCAAGTTCGAAAACTTTGTCGTTGTGGACTATGGTGGATGGATAGATGCTCCGGAAGTGGATGGCAAGGACTTTGCTGCTGGTATAGAGATCACGTACGTGCTGGATGGGAGGAGGAGGATGAGGAAACAGGGGGGGGAGGGGAGGAAGAAGAAGAAGAAGAAGAAGAAGAAGAAGAAGAAGAAGAAGAAGAAGAAGAAGCATCAATGTGCTATGTGGGCTTGTTTGAAAAAAGAAAAAGAAAAAGAAAAAGAAAAAGAAAAAGAAAGGGGTATGAAGTTACTATGAACAATGTGAAGTCGTTTTATTTCACGAACCTGGCTGACTGTCACAAAAGCCAAAATGCTACTTCACAACACTTTTTCTCTCCTCATCCAAACTGGAATTGCAGCCTTTAGTGCATAGACTCTCAAAGTAAATGTTGCAAGGGCGTATTCTGACCTACAGAAGAACCTCTAATTAAGATTCGTGGTAAGAGTGTTTAAGTTTGATATCGATGCATTGGGTGAAAAAAGGATGCACGGGGTGAAAAAGGGGTTGCTGTGGTGATTATTTACAACACATACAGAGGGCTGCTGGCAATGCTTCTGGGTCGCATGGGAGTTTCAGTATGGCCTCTTGTGTTTTTGAATGTGCGACATGTTCCTGTCCTATTTGGCATTTGTATTCGTGAGGTTCATCAATGACCTGTGCTTTGTATGAATTTTGTAGCTTTAGCTTTTCTGCTTTTTTTTGGGGGGGGGTGACTTCAGTAGAGTCACAAAAACGAGTTACAATTGCACTATGGGGCAAGGTACAGTTTGCAATTGCACTCCGGGCACCCTACCTGGCCAGAAAACTGGGTTGTGTACATTGCCCGAACTGCAATTCGAAACTGTTTCTTCGCCCATAGTGCAGTTACAACTCGTTTTTGTGACTCCCGCATAGTTTCTGTAATAACCCTGTTCAGAAGTAGCCTGGGGCCCAGAACTCAGCCCCAGGCCACGCAGACCTGAGAAGGTCTGCGCTGGGCTGTGTGACCAAGAC